TGTGTTATCATATCTATGGGCGTATCACAGGGCTCGATATTGGGTCCCTTTTCTCTTTTTGGTCTACATAAATGACTTACCTCATTTATTCCATCGTGAACTGGGAATCGTATTGTTTGCTGATGGCAAATCGTTAACTTTTAAAATAAATGAATGGCAAGTACCAATGTGACTTTTTCCAAGTTATATGTACTTTCTATGATTATTTAGACACGACTGACATACGGTCAAGGAAAACATCGTGAGGAAACCTGGACTTATAATTTCTAATTATAAGTTTGAAATCGCCAACCCGCATTGAGCAAGCGTGGTGATTAATGCTCTAACCTTCTCCGTATGAGAAGAGGCCTTTGCTCAGCAGTGGGCACTTATAGGCTGATGATGATGATGATGATGATGACAAAAAACAAAATGTGTACGATTTCCCATTTGAGTTTCCCAAATGTTAAAAGTAACGAATGTGTGATATTATTAGACGGTAAGAAATTGGAATTTGTAAAGCAATCTACTTTTCTGGGTATAACCGTAGATAATAAACTACAATGGGAGCCCCATATCGCATCTGCAGAATTGCTGTCTGGAAGATCCGACAGCTAACAGAGGTGGACACTACGAGACTGGTGTACTTCAGATAGTATTACGTCGTACATATGTAGTCTGCTGACATTGAGTCTATCGTTGTCTTGCAAAAACGTATCATTAGAGCTATTTACGACCTAAGTCCCCGTGAATTTTTCAGACAAAAGTTTGAAGAGATCAATATAATGAATGACTGTGCCATGTCAGTTCATTTGTGAAAATATTATGTATGTTAGGAAAAGCTTAATAATTATGATCTGCTAGTGCCTGGTATCCTTGGGTATGCAGATGATAGCACAGTTGTAGAGAGATACCTGCCCAGTGCTCGGGCTAGTGAGGAGCTAATCCAGTCTGAAAGGGAGGCTATGGTAGAGCGTACGAATGTCTCACTTCAGGTAGTTTCAAAGTGGGGCAAAACTAATCTGGTAACATTCAACGCCACCAAAACACAGGCGTGTCTATTCACCGCCAAAAGGAGCCCGTTCACCTTGGCTCCTGCTTTTCGGGATGTATCCCTGGAGTGCACCGACCGCCTTCAGCTCTTGGGAATGGACATTGCTTCAGACCTCAACTTTGGGCGGTTCATTGAGTCCAGAGCCAAGGTAGCTGCTAGAAAACTCGGCGTTCTTGCAAAAGTCCGACGGTACTTCACACCGAGTCAGCTTCTAATGTTGTATAAAGCTCAGGTCCGATCGTGTGTGGAGTACTGCAGCCACATATGGGCTGGTGCTGCGAAATGCCACCTAGCGGCTTTGGATTCGGTGGAAAGGCGTGCAAAGAGGCTAATTGGAGATCCAGATTTGGTTGGGTCCAATATTCAAAGTCTCGAGCACAGGCGCAGAGTAGCCAGCCTTGCGGTTTTCTACAGGATACATTTTGGAGAGTGTGCCCAGGAATTGCACGATTTGATTCCGCCATCCCAATTTCACCTTCGGACATCCCGGCGTACGGCGAATATCCACCCCTACGTTGTTGAGACACCTGCGGCCCGGACTAAGCGTTTTGCCTCGTCATTTATACTGCGTACATCGAGGGATTGGAACAGTTTGCCGGCTGCAGTCTTTCCGTCCGAATACAACTTAGGTGTCTTCAAGGCTAGAGTGAATAGGCTCTTCATAAACTAGTGCGCCTTACCATCAACGATTGCATCACTGCTTAACATCAGGTGGGATCGCAGTCAAGCACTGGTTTATTGCAAGTAAAAAAAAAAAGCTTACAATTATTTGGTAAGGTGTCAGACGGACATAATTATCAAACTAGACATAGAGATAGATTATGTCAGATATTGTATAGATCGGCAAAATTACACAAGTCGTTCATAGGATTCTGTGTTAAATAAATGTAATAGTAAAATCCCTGATGAAATACAGCAATTAAGTGAAAGAAATTTTTAATTATGTATAAAGCAAACCCTTATGTCAGCTTGGAGTTGTCAAGCTCACTCAAAGGTCACACTGGCGGTGACACGGGCGCTGGAACGGTCTTTTCCCTATAATATGGTTGAGTTGGGCGATGCTGGTGTACGTGTCATGTTCGTGAACGGGAGCCGTCAATTGGGTAGTTTCCTAGGACAAAAATAAATTATTTCGACGTTTCAATGCAATAAAATATTGAAAAATAACTATACTTTTATTCATCGATCGATCGATATACTAATTTTTAATTTTTTTTAGCTAATTATTAAGAAAAAAGTAAGCTATTTGACGCAAAAAAATTATGACGTCATAGCTCAGTTTTTCATACAAATTTCATAGAAAATTATCGTTTGGATAAACGATATTCGTCCAATTGACGTTTGGATAAAAGTATTGAATTTGACTAGTTGGAAACTACCGTATTGGGACTGGGCAGCTCCGGACTGTCTATTGTTCTTAAGGTTATTTTCTTGCAATGTTTCCCTGAATAAATACAGGGTGTAAAAAGACACTTAACGAAGCCGAAAGCCACGTATTCTACCCATTATTTGGATCATTGTTTTCTTTAACACCATAGCTGGGACTCCACGGGTTCTCGAGATATTGAAGGTCAAAGATGCATTTTTAAATCTTTTTTTTTGCGCAATCGAATTCTAAGTATTATTACAAAACTTTTTTCCAAACAAACATTACCTGAATTTTCATTTTTTCTAAATAAATTACGCATTTGAAGTTACGAACAGTAATGTACGTAATAAATAAATGCAGACCCGCACAAAAAACATCGTGAATCTCAGTAGGATTTTTATTTTACAGAATTGTTTTGTTGTTGCGAAGTAAACCGTCGACCTACGTACTTATCACAGCGTTTTAATGCTAAGCTGTGAACCTACGCACACAATGACCCCTTTTGCTTTACATTGCGCGCAATAAAATTATTATTTTTTTGATACCGAAAAATAAAAGTCGTTTCCCAGTGATAATTTTAGCGTAAAGCTACTTAGTTAAAACTGCAGTATGCGTAGTTAACGGCTTCGTTAAGTGTCTTTTTACACCCTGTATTAGTAGTACTGTTACCGAAGAATCTGTATGTGAAACTGATTTAAAAAGAGTAACCATGGAGTTTCTTGCTCTTCTTCTTCTTCTCCACTGGAATCTACGCTTAGCTTAGCTAGCTAAGAAGATTGAACGATACACTAACACTTTTTATGTTTCAGTTTTGTTTGACGTTCAAAATTGCCTGTAACAGTTTCTAAGTGAAATACTTAAATAATTTTGACCTTGACTTTAACTATCGCGTTCAAAAAATCAGACAAACTCTAGATGCTTAGCTTTTTTAATAAAATTGACTATGTGGCCATAGCTGCATAGATTTTGCATAAAATGTTCAGTACAAAACGATGTGACATCGGCAGAGAAAAAGAAACTTCCTTAAAATGTGGTTTTTAATTTTATTATTTGCTGCGGTCGCTGACTGTAAGTCACATTTTGGTAATCTTTAACTTCTGTAGTTTTTCTTCTTCCTTTCATGTATCGATACGAAATCCAACCAATTACGTTTCATTCTCTTCATTGCTTTCCGTTATTGGTGTTGATTTCGACGAAGTATATTATTCATAGGATGTCCACGTGATGCCACTTAGAGAGAGATAGTATATGATAATGTGAAAAACCATGTTTTATTTTTAAATATTCAATTAATGTTACCAGTAATAATATGTAATGAAGGTACAGAAACCGTTGACAGACCAGTTGGAGTCATCGCTTCGCCATCACTACCATCACCTGAAAGCCGCACCTACAGAGGCAGTCCAGTCAAGATAGAAAAATACCCCTTTGTAGTACAGGTCAGTAAAGTAAATAATTTCAAAGGAAAATAATATTGGGACAGAATCTCGTTAACAAAGATTTTCGTCCAAAGAAGGGTACTTACTACTTACTTAAATTAAAATTACGTCGAAGATCATTATTTACACACGACAACATCGACTTTGACAGTAGTTCCATCATCGGACCACCAGACGTACGGCATTGCGCCACCGGTACATGGTGGATGTCCCACATATACGTACAAAACGATTTGGGAGCACATTCATTATGCGTACAGCCAAGGAGTGGAATTCCTTGCCGGAGTCGGTGTTTCCTGATAGCTACAATCCGGGTATCTTTAAGTCAAGAGTGAACAGGTTACTTCTAGGTAAGCGCGCTCCATCGTCGACCGCATCGTCGCTTTCCATCAGGTGAGATAGCGGTCAAGCGCGAACCTATAATCAATAAAAAAAAACATGGCAAAACTAACTAACTAGTGCCTAATTCTAAAACGATATATCACATTGGCTCCTCATTTGATTTATTGATTTTCATCATCATCAGCCTATAAGTGCCCACTGCTGAGCAAATGCCTCTTCTCACTCGGAGAAGGTTAGAGCATTAATCACCACGCTTGCTCAATGCGGGTTAACGATTTCAAACTTATAATTAGAAATTGTAAGTCCAGGTTTCCTCACGATGTTTACCTTCACCGTATGTCAGTGGTGTCTAAATAATCATAGAAAGTACCTACATATATGTAACTCGGAAAAAGACACATAAGTACTTGCCAGGTTTCAAACCCGCATGCATGAGAAGCGGGCTTCTAACCTCCGGGCCACCACGGCATCATATCATCATTATTGATTTTAATATGTGTCAACTGACAACTGGCTGTGATTGCAGATTATCAAACATGAAGATGGTACATACGTCTTTCACTGTGCAGGCTCACTCCTGAGCCCGCGATACATATTGTCTGCAGCACATTGCTTCGTTAATTCGTAAGTACCTTCGTTACCTCGCGATATATTTTCCTTCACCGTACCGTCAGTAATATTAAAACGCAAATATGACTCGGAGAATGTCACATTGGTACTTGATTCATTTCAAACTACCTCATGATTTAGTCAATAACTTCTTTTCATATACCTGACTACTTCACTTTCTTATCCAATTAAGTATATTAATCATTGAATGTTGTAAGTGTGTGTGTAAGCGTACAGATTCATGTGGGGACCAAGGGACGCGGATATCGTATAATATAGTATATTATTTCATTACTAGTGCGGAATGGCTGTCATTGCAAAGAATTCCAACAAATGTCTACTCGAGCCTAAGGCGAGGGTTGACTGAACGACTATTTTTAATACATTTGCGAAAAAATTAAGCAATTTAATCGAATTATAAAAACACAATAAACTCAATTAACTAATCATTTATTTCTTATAAAAATGGCGCCAACCGTAGAATGTAAGATCTTTTTTTCACCCATTATATATCACTTATACTTTAAAACTATAATCAGCTAGGTATCACTTATTACTATATTAATTTAATTTAAGTACAAAAACACTGTTCACTGAATTGACTTGTCATTCAAGAAATCAGGTACAAAGAAGTAACACTTCTTAATCAGTAAAGCTTTAAGTGTGTTTCTAATGTAAAGTATGTTATTAATGTTGCTTTTTTACAGAATTATCCAGGAATATACCACTACCACTGAAACTACCACTACAACAAAGGCTATCAAAACCAATGAGAAAGCCAATTTACGCGTAGGGTTAGTCAAATTCTTGTCAGTCAATTTATTTATCAGTTATCAAAAAGCCTTTAACCTTAAGCCAGACACAATGTTTAAACCTTCCAGGAGGAACAAAACTTACAGCGCATTCCTCATCCGTAGCTTGGAGAAAGATAAAGTTACCCCTTTCTTCATGAACCTGTAAAAGTATCGAATTCAAAGTCAAAAAGTCAAAATCATTTATTTCAATTAGACCATAGTAGGCACTTTTGAACGTCAAGCAAAAAAAAGAAAAAAAGTATTTCAAGAGCTTTAACTTTAAGCGTGTCAGTGTGTCCGTCTGTCCGTCTGTCCTCTATTTAAGCTATTTGCTCGTTCCAAAGTGTAGATTCCTATGGAGAAGAACTAGCAAGAAACTCCATGGTTACTCTTTTTCAATCAGTTTTACAATTCATTTCTTTGTTACATCATTAAGTCGGTTCTGATATGTGAGAACAGTGTAACACTAATGTTTAGACAAAAAATCCGTATCAAACTTCTACATCGGCGCGATAAGCAATTTAAGCCGCACATTTTTAAAGTCACAACTACTCGCAAGATAGGTAACTAAAACTATAAGGGTAGTTTTTTATTGGTCGGCAAACGAGCAAACTGATTACCTAATTGTAAGCAATCAGCGCCGCCCATGGACACCGGCAACAAACGAGGACTTACGAGCTTTGTCGACCTTTTGGAGATTAGGGACTTGGTGATTTTGGGATTGGGGGAAGAGAAGGATTGTTAGGCGGGTAAGTCCAACTGGCATTTAGTTTTGAAATTCTTACCAAGGACAACCATCTAATATTGCCACACTGATTGAATTTTAGTATAGGTTAGATAGGCAAATCAGCTTACGGATAGTAAGAAATCGCATCGTTAAACTAGTGTTGATATTGCTTACGTCACAAGCAATCAAGCTATAGGGGTTTTAAACTATTAATGGCAATAGGAAAGTCGTAGGTATAATATTATAATGTTTTTTTAAGGAGCGGACTCTACGTTGATCCTACCACGTACAGAGTTCGTGTTGGGTCAAGTCACGTAGACGATTCAGGTGAGTTTAAAATGGCGATCGACAGCCTTATGACGTTCGGCGCCCAGATTGGCCCGCGCCAATTTGACCAACCAATCAGCGGACTAAACGCGGTAACATTTCGATCGCGTCAATGAAATGTAAAGTCACACCAGACATTATTGCCATCAGCGCCTCTTATGGACATCTTTAACACCAAAGGCGTTACGATTGCTTTGTAGGCATTTAAGGATTTAGGGTGGGGAGGGAGGGGAGAGAGTCAAAGTCAAAGTCAAAATTATTTTATCCAACTAAACCATGGATTTTTTTTGGTGCTTTTGAAACGTCGAAATAGATTCATTCATCAGTGAATCCATTCCATAACCTAACAGATACGGCATAATACAACAAACGCAAGCCCAGCTTTGCCGAAACTTGGTGCTTTAACTATAAAAAGTAATACTTAATTATTAAAAATATAAATATGTCATTTTTATAATGAGTGCTACCTATGCCTAATCTAATATTTTTAAATGTCACATGTCGTGACAAAATTATTTTTTTTTTGTTTTCACATTTCCGATTGTCTATCTTCGTACCTCTCACTATGCGCACTTCCATGCGTATTAATTACTTAAATATATACCTATATAAAGTAAAACCCATATTCCATCGTAATGTGATCGTTGCCCCACGTATCCACTCAATAAGTAACGATTTAAAGTGACGGGTAACTAACTAACTATTAAAAATTAGCCCTTTGGTCTATAGTTGCGATAATTGTCAGATTCGGCCAAACGTTCAGGCCCACAGGATTAATGGATGTTTTGTCAACAGGTGGAAGACGTCATGAAGTATCAGCTATAATAGTTCACGAGGGCTACAGGCTATTTGAAAATAGTATAGCATTAGTTCGGACCTGGAAAGCGGTCCGCTTGGGTCTCACTGTTGCGCCTATCCAGATACCTTTCAAATTCCCGGAACTGTCTGAGAACACGACGGTCACACTTGTCGGTTGGAATTCTAGGGTACAGTAGACTCTGGTCATCTTGCTTCTTCTGAGCGGCATCTCGCAACCATCTCGCAATTTGGGCACGAGAAACTTTATTTTTTAAATAAGCTTTAATGTTTCGTATAATCATCATCAGCCTATAAGTGCCCACTGCTGAGCAAAGGCCTCTTCTCATACGGAGAAGGTTTAGAGCATTAATCGCCACGCCAACTCAATGCGGGTTGGCGATTTCAAACTTATAATTAGAGATTGTTGTTGTCACGATGTTTACCTTCACCGTATGTCAGTGGCGTCTAAATAATCATAGAAAGTACATACACTTGCCATGTTGTGAAGGAAAATATCGTGAGGAAACCTGGACTTATAATTTCTAATTACAAGTTTGAAATCGCCAACCCGCATTGAGCGAGCGTTATGATTAATGCCAACCTAACCTTCTCCGTAAGAGAGAGAGAGAGAGGCCTTTGTTCAGCAGTGGGCACTTATAGGCTGATGACCATGACGATACTGAACATGGCAGGCAAAAGGTTAAAATGTCAATCCCGGAGAGAATACACGTGGGTATCGACAAACAACATGGAGCGTCCAAATTGTGGAAAAGAAAATTATATTACTGATAAAATTCGTCCATAATTTTTCACGTTTTCATCCTGGATATAACGATCGCTGAAAGGTAGCGATAACTTGCCCTTTTTAGATAAGCTTTTTAAACTGGGTACCGGGATCTCGACCTGGTGCAGGCGAAAGAAAGGCCTGGATCAGTCAGTAAGAGTGTTTCACTCCCTAAAAAAATCTTCATCGTTGTTCAAATAAAGTTCTAAATTTTTTATAATAACTATCGTGAGACATACTAAATTAACTAAAATTCGCGGGTTACTCACGTGTAAATGTTGAGAAAAGCTCTACTAGTTTCGAACCACAGAGGGGTTCTTCCTCATGAGCAGCGTGCGCGGACGCGGCGACATCGCCGCGTCCTCCGTCGAAACTAGTAGAGCTTTTCTCAACATTTACACGTGAGTAACCCGCGAATTTTAGTTAATTAAGTTCTAAATTCATATCCCATCGTGATATCTGCAGGGCAGGAGAGATTTACGCGAAATATTCATTCCGATGGTCAGCTGGGCGAAATGTAGAAAAATATATTCGAGATTTATAACGTTCACCACTAATATGTTTTGCGCTGGAGCTTTAGGATCTGGAGGTACGAATACGACATCACAAATCTTATTGAAATTTATGAAAATAATGATCTGAACTTAGCTAACCTAACTTATAGTTCTAAGTATAGTTCTGGGTATGTTAAAAAAACAAACTTCAAATAAAAAAAAACTATTACATATGTAGGTTTCATCATCTCCTATCGACAGATAGATATGCGCGCGAGGTAGAATACTTCAAGAACCTACCAGTCAGTTGATGTACAATAGCACAGTAAATCCGCAGACCGCATCATCATCCACGCAAACTCATGGATAACCCCTGATGGGTCAACCAAAAATGAGATCGACATCATCATGGTGACCGACAAGCGTTTTCAGTGATGTCTCTGTGATTGCTAAGGTGTAAACCGGTAGCGGTCACACTAAATAGGTGCCTGCCTTTCAAGCTGGAAAGGTCATGTCTGGGGAAGTCAACACTGCGTCCATGCCGCTTACAGATTCGGAACCCCGAAGCATTTCAACTCCAACAGCGCAATCGCTTCCAGTGCCGTACTGATTGCGAAACCGTCGACGAAATAATAAAATTAATGGGTTGGTGGAAACTGTTCGAGCAGTGGGGTCGTATTGTTTAAGACCCTACGCCAAAACAAGGCTTAAAAGCTCTTGAACGGTGTTCCGTTCAAGAGCTTTTAAGGCTCCTGAAACATCGAAGCGAAATGAGGCTACAGTCTACAGCCGATATGGCAGAGTACAGTATCCTCAATAGGCGAATTTCAAAAGACATGGGACATGACGAAGGTAAGTACGCCATAGAATGAAACCCAGCTCGTAAAATCTGCAGGCTAAGCTAAGTGCAATCGCAGGCCATGTCGTTCGAAAAGAATTAAAGTGGCAAGTAAGGGCCGGAAAGCGTAGCGTAGGCAGGCCTTCTGCTAAGTGACAACATGGTCAGAGCCGCAGGGAGCCAAGCGATGCAGGTGGCAACTTGTCGTTTGACGCGGAGAACTAAGGGAGGCCTTTGTTCAGCAGTAGACGTCTTTCGGCTGATGATTATGATGATAATAAAGCACACAACGCGCCGCGTATACTTAAAAGAGGTTTTACTGTGTCTTTCTAGCATCAATCGTATTTTTTTCTCATAGAAAGCAAACGAGCAGACAGATTATCCGATAATAAGCAAGCAGCGCCGCCCATGGACACCCGCAATAACGGAGGAGATACAAGTCCGTTTCCAACCTTTTGGGGATTTAGGGAATGGGGAGGGATTGAAGGAGGGGAAGGATTGGGCCTCCAGTAACCTCACTCACAGGGCGAAACACAATGGTTGTTTTACACCGGTTTTCTGTGAGGACTTGGTATCATTGCGGTTAAGCCGACCCATTTGTGCCAAAGCACGACTCTCCCACACTTATTGTAACGTTTTCATCAAACTTGCTTCTGAAACAGTCGGTTGCCATACGGTCGAGTACAGTCGCGTTTACGGCTACGGCTGAATATTATATTTACGAATCGCGCGGCATAGCCAATGAAGTTTTGGTGAATCATTAAGCATAGGTACCTGACTCCATGGACGAGATCAGCATCTTGCTGACACGACTGATATCCATGACATCCTTAAAAGAGGATGAGATTTACAGTGCCAAGTTGCTGCTGTTCACGACGCTTGGCCAATCTCAGCCAGATGCCGTGTGGTCGAAGGGATGGCACGGATGTTTGTATTACATTGTTGTTGAAGGAGACCAACCTGGACGACATGCCGGATTTCGTGGTGAAAGATCTGCACAAATTGCTTCCCGTCACTTGCGACTACGTAGACGTCACCAGACTACTGAAAGATATAATACTCCTGAAGCAAAACCAGTTCAAGATGCAGCAATAACTGGAGAAGTTCAATAACACCATCAGTTATCTACAGGCAGAAGTATAGTACAATTTCTGCAAGTAGGTCGCCCAGCAACGCAAATGTGAATACGCGTCGCGGGGCACAAAACGCTTCCTTCTGCAGATTCGAGTCGACAGGCTCGAATGCTTTACCAGCTGCTGTCCCTGCCGACGACGACGTGTGAAGGTTCGACGACCCTCAAACGAGCCTATGCAGCGATTGTAGTCGCCGCTAAAAACCTGTTGAGCTACAAAACTCGCAGGTTAAACCAGCGGGCCAAGTAAAAGGGGCTAAACGGAGCCTGTCAAAACCAAGACACGTTCTGGAAAAGCTCTTGAGAAGGACACGGGTGGCAGCGATGGTTTTATCAAGGTGGAGAGAAGAGGAAGAAGAAGAAGCTTCCTTGTCAGAACGGGTGTGGTACTGCATTGGCAGGACCCAACATGTTGCTACGTCCAGCCATTCGACATCGCTGCTGTACGTGTCCAGGCTGCATCACTCCACAAAGGTTGAGGAGGTCATAGAATACATGCGTGTAAAGTTCAACTGGACTTTGAGGGTCGAGCTATTGAAACCGCGACACAAAACGAACTTCAAGTCGTTCGTGGTGCTCGTTCCGACTAATCACCTCGAAAAGTTCCTCAAAGACGAGTTTCCGCCGAAAGGTGTTACGTGTAGATAGAAGAGACGTGACACCAGATAGCGAATCACGCCACTTCGTGTACATTAATGACTTATGCCCGGTTCCTATATTTAACGAATCGTCGTTGTATACGCATTACGACCAAATGACATTACGAATAGTTATCTTGACCGTCTACTGACGGTAAAAATATTTATAGGAACACCACAGACACCATAGATCTCCATACAATTCGCTTACCGACATCCGTTAGTTGCAAACCGTCAGTAAGTTGCACGACGAGACGTTTGTTATAGGAACGGTTTTAGCTTACGAGTCGTATATAAAACTACTATTCGTAACTAAAACGGATCGTTTCTCAATTATAGGAACCGGGCATAAATTGAGTACGTTTTAACTTGCATTGTAGTATATAGGTAGTATTGTTTATGAGCATTGATATATATTTATAATATTTTTAAGTTTGATATTGTTTATAAAATATAGTATTGTATATGTTTATACGGGCCTTCGATGACTGACATAAATGGTAGATAAAAATAAACACAACTAATTGAACGTATTTCAGTTTACGTTTTTCACTAAATCATTGATTTGTGTTTGCTTGCAGACAAAAGAGACGAAGACGAAGAAGTGTGTACGTATGGTAATCCTCTCCTCTATGGAAAATCTTTAGTGGGAATACTGATATATGCTAAAGGTTGCGCAAATCAGGTGACTCCAGCTGTGTATACCAGGATCTCGGAGTACACCAATTGGATCGATGTCACGGTGAGACATTTATTAAGTATCGTATCCTTATGGACATGGGGTTCCTTTATGACATTTTACGCGAACGGATCGATTGTCTCAAACATCCGTAAGTTTCGGGGTTGCGGGGTAAGCGCAATAAGGTACCGCGACCTCGGCACAGAGCAGGAGAAGGAACAGGGGGGTTTTTAGTCAGTAAGAGTCTGACACTCCCTCCTGCCCGGCCCTGGGCGGGAGAAGTCATTTGATGATTTTCCCCTCACAAAAAAAAAAAAAAAAAAAAAAAAAAAAAACATCCGTAAGTTTATCAATTTACTAGGAAGTTTATAAACTTTCGTAAGATTCTAAACGGGAGATAAATTGTAATATTTTACGTTCACATTTTCGTAAATTGATAAACTTACTGAACTCACTCGTAAGATAATAAGTAAGCAATAAGCAAACGCTACGCGCGATCTGATTGGTTGGCTGTCACGTGTCACTTCTATTGACACAAGCATTGCCACTATGAACATTGACCAATCAGAGAGCAGTGTGTTATTTTACGTATTTCAAAGATCGTATATTTAAAAGAGTTTCTGTGATTGGTCGAACCATATAAAATCTTACGAATCGATATTCGTTAGTTTATAAATTTACCGTATGACGTCGGAAATTGATAAATTTAGGAAAATGTGGACGTTTACGTTCACATTTTCGTAATTAATATTACATTTAATATTACAATTTATCTCCCGTTTAGAATCATACGAAAGTTTATAAACTTCCTAGTAAATTGATAAACTTACGGGTCTTGTTATTTTCCGGTGACATATACATATATATCGACATAATATATTATTAACATATATATTTATACTTCAAATAATTATTTATGTTCTGATTACTCGTTTTATTTGTATGTATTTGTAGCTGTTGTCTGTCTTACTGCTTATGACACATCCACCCATGTATCTACGAGCATACGGTAGCGGTATGCCCTGCCTGGGCTGAGCACCGCCGTATCCTCAGGGAAGTGATCGGCGGCGGCGACCTCTCGCGCCCGGCCTTAGTCGAGGCCATGGTGCGGAGTGAGAGGAACTGGGACGCCGTCTCCTCCTTTTGTGAAGCAGTCATGCTCGCAAAGAGAGAGGCGGCCCGCGTGAGGGAGCAATCCTCCTCCTCACGCCCCAGCAGCCGCAACTGGCGACACTACGGGCGTCGGGGATCGAGGGACGATCTCCGGCCACCGTAGGCACGGGCCTGCGGTCGGCGAGTAAGGGCAGCTCGCCGCCCGACCAGAACCAGGCCCGAGCGTACGGCGCGTAGCGTTCCGCGCGCGCCTCAAAGAGCCATTCGACCACCACAGGCGGGGCCCTAAAGGGCTGATGTTCAGCCGGGGTTGCGGGGTAAGCGCAATGAGGTACCGCGACCTCGGCACAGCAGGAGAAGGAACAGGGGGGTTTTTAGTCAGTAAGAGTCTGACACTCCCTCCTGCCCGGCCCTGGGCGGGAGAAGTCATTTGATGATTTTCCCCTCACAAAAAAAAAAACCATGTATCTACCGTGGATAACTATTATTGGCTACTCAACTACTGTAATAGGTTAAATTAAGAAGAGTTAAGTTATGAACCATCGCTGTTGTTATCCCTAAAATAAATAAATAAATAAATAAATTATACTTACTAGAGACCCGTCCCGGCTTCGCACGTGTGTTATGCTGATACTAAATTTCTCCACTATTTAATGTATGTTATTATACATGTAAACCTTTCTCTACAATCACTCTATTAAAAAAACCATATTAAAATCCGTTGCATAGTATTAAAGATTTAAGCATACATAGGGATATAGAGAAAGCGACTTTGTTTTATACTATACTAGCTCTTACCCGCGGCGTCGCTCCCGTCATTTGACTACCTACCCTACTTTACCTTCCCTACACCCTACTTTACCTACCCTACTCTACCCACACTACTCTACCTACCCTACTCTACCTAGCCTACTCTACCTAACCTACTCTAATACCCTACTCTTCCTACCCTACTCTTCCTACCCTACTCTACCTACTTTACCTACCCTACTCTACATACCCTACTTTACCTACACTACTCTATCTACCCTACTCTACCTAAAATACTCTACGTATTCTATCCTATCCTATGTCCTTCTCCTGGCTCTAAACTATCTCCCTGCCAATTTTCAACTAAATCGGTTCAGCCGTTCTTGAGTTATAAGTGGAGTAATTAACACGACTTTCTTTTATGTATATAGATATGTAGTGATAAGACATTCAATAAAAAATCGAAGTCAAAATCAAATTATTTATTTCAAAGAGACCTAACCACTTTTGAACGTCAAACAAAAAATAAATATAAAAAAGTTTGTGTGTGTATCTGTCGGTCTGTCCTCAAGTGAGGCTTAAGTGTGGGAGAGCCATGCTTCGGCATGAATGGGTCGGCTCGTCCGGAGTGATACCACGGCCTTACAGATAACCGGCTGGAAACAACTACAGCGTCGTGGTGTTTCTCCATGTGAGTGAGGTTACCGGAGGCCCAACCTCTCTCCCAATCCCTTCCCAATCCTTAAATATCCGAAATCCTTTTCCCCTAAAGAGCCGGCGGCGCGCTCGTGACCTCTTTGGTGTTGCGGGTATCCAATGGCGGCGCCGATTACTTGTCATCAGATGCGACATCAGCTAGTTAGCCGACTGACGACTGACGACTGACTGATACACCTGAGTGGGCAGGACAACTTTAAGCTGTCACAAGATCCTATATTCTACTAGACTACTATACATATATAGGTATATTAAATAGGTTACAGGGCACTCACATTTACAAAAACTTTTAAGATCGCGAACAAATTAATGACGTTGCGTATCATAAATTAAAATTCCTCTTATCATTAACAATTTTCGTGAATATTATCCTGTGTAGTAGGCCCAGCTAGCCTCCAAGCATCCTTATCCTCATAATCACTTAGTTCGTAGTATGCTTGTCTACATAAAGTTTTCTTTATACACTATTAAAATTTTTGCGTTCATTAAGTTTTTGGATTCTGCTTGAGATTTTGTTGTAACATTTAACACGGAATCCCAATAAACGACTTGTGTACTTATGTCAATCTATATAAAGGCTGACTTAATCTATCTCTTAATTTAAAGTGTGGGAGAGCCATGCTTCGGCACGAATGGGTCGGCTCGACCGGAGTGATACCACGGCCTCACAGAAAACCGGCGTGAAATAACCACAGCGTTGTGTTTCGCCGTGTGAGTGAGGTTACCGGAGGCCCAATCCTTCCCCTCCCCCAATCCCTCCTAAATCCCTAAATCTCCAAATCCCTAATCCCTAAAAGGTCGGCAACGCACTCGTAACTCCTCCGTTGCGAGTGTCCATGGGCGGCGCTGATTGCTTACCATGAGGTAATCCGTCTGCTCGTTTGCCGACCAATTAAATAAAAAAAATATATATAATTTTATGTCTAGTTTGTCATTCATGTTGGTCAGATTCTTTAACAAATACGGTCATAATGTTGATGTCCATAAACTTTTCCCTGAGAGATTCGCGACGACTTAAGTCCCCACAGCAGAATTCCGTACAGAATGCTTTGAAGGTAGCTGAAGTAAAGTTTAATTTAGCTGTTAGAGCTCTATCGTCCTGCTATAGATCAGGGCCTCGAGTCTGCTATTACAATAGCTCAGAATAGTAGATCATTGCTTTCAAAATTGTTGATTTTGACAAGTTTGGTAATCTACTAACACGATAGCGTCATTATGACTTTCCAATGCCACTTCATTGAAATAATTCTTTAGAACGGTAATCTCGTACATAATGACAAATGAATATTTGACATAATGCGGTAAATTAATAAAAAAATGTCAGTTCCTTTATTCAATGATTTACGTTTACAATATTAATGTGCAGTTATTGTTTATAATTCGTTACAAGACATCTCGTACTATAACGACATCGCCGAACGCCAATGATCAGCTACTTTGAATTAACAGATTACGAACTTTTATCAAAATGACAATGGAATCGTGTAGGAATGACAACACTTTGAAAATAGTAGACTCGGGCCCCTGATGTGTGGCCTCATTGCAGCTTGCTAGTCCTCAGGAAAGTAGTCTCCTTAACAAATTCCAGTTTCTAACTATTTAATTATAAAAGTAAAATAAAAGTCAAAAACCATTTAAGTATTTTAATTAGACACCAACAGGCACTTTTGAACGCGAAACAAAATTTTAAAGATATAAAGTGTCAGTCTGCCGGTCAGTCTAGTGAAGCTATTTGCTCGTTCCAAAGTGTAGATTCCAATGGAGAAGAACGAGCAAGAAACTCCATACTCTCTTTAAATCAGTTTCACATTTTCCTTATACAAACAGAACAGTGTAACACTAATATTTATTCAGAAAATATAAAAAGAAAATAACTATTAAGGAAAATGGACAATCCGGAGCTGACCAGTCCCAACTGACAGCGCCCGTTCACGAACATGACACGTATATAGCAGTCAAAAAATAGCATCGCTCAACTCAACCATATTATAGGGAATTGAGCGATCCAGTGCCCGTGCCCGTTGCCGGCCTTTTGTGGATTATTAGGGATTTAAAGATAGGGGATTTGAGGATTGATGATGGGGAGGGTAAGGTTGGGCCCTCCGGTATCCTCCCTCTCACGAAACACAACGTAAGTTTTGCTCCGGTTTCCGACACATTCTAGCCGAATCTTGGATCTCCCACTTTTTTTTTTGTCAGGGGAAAATCATCAAATGACTTCTCGCGCCCAGGGTTAGGCGAGAGAGAGTGTAAGACTCTTACTGACTAAAAACCCCCACGTTCCTTCTCCTGCTCCGGGCTGAGGCCGCGGTGACTCATTGCAGGATCTCCCACGCTTATGATACTATGGTACTGGGTGATTCTCCAAAAAACCTTAACTTTTATTTAACAAGTCATTATCCTCTTAGGTTTTTAAGCATCTTAGTAATTTATTTTATACAATATTTTTAATCGGTTGCTTGTAAGCAGTGGTGAGATTTAATTTAATAAAATAATTATCTGTGTTTTAATCAGCAGACTCGTTAATTTTCGGTTGAGGATAATTACATTATTAATTTTTTTTTAATTGATGTGAAGAATCACCCTTCTACTTAGACAACATACACTGACAAGTCAACTGTCGTTTCTTCTTTCAGATGACGATGGATTCGCATCGCGGTGACCAGCTAATCGGTGCCACCAGTTCAATTAACATAGTCGGAGTCACTCTTCTGATCCCCTTGTTATTTTTACTTCTGAGCGTCTAGAAGCAACGGGGCGAACGAAAGACAAAGGGTGTCATTTAGACGATCTTCATTTTTTCATCAAAAAAAAAAACGTTCATCAACATTAGGATTTTGTTCTGGTGCGCTTACAGACGTAGGATTTATCTAACATTGATGAACCCCTCAAAAAGGAACAAGACCTAAACCAACAATTGGTGGTTCACACAAAGAGTTGTTGGGTATTTTAAAATAAATATTTAGTGCAAAAAACTTTGAATTTAAATAAAAATAAAACGCCTTCTACAACTACGATGCTTTTGAAATGAAGGTTGCTTTTTTTTTGGTTTCGGGTTGGAAAATCTTCATGGAGACCCAATGCCATCGGGGAAAGGGTGAAGGGTACTGTCAGACTTCTACTGACTAAAAACCAACCCTGTGTTCCTCCATTTACCCATGTGTCGGAGGGGCGGGTATCGCCGAAGCATTCATCGCATCCCCCCAACGGGTTATAGCTCGCCAGATAGTCAGGCGGGCCCCGTCACCCACCGCGGCCGTCACCCCAACCGCAGGACTAGATGAAGGTTGCAACTGAATTATATACTTAATATTTGTTTGTTAATTTATTTAGAGGAATGATTCGTTTGCTTAAATAAATAAAGCATAGGGTTTTTGACAATGACGTATTATATATAGACACGTCATGAACCAACATCGCGGCGCTTAAAAACGGCGAAAATACTAGATAACTACTTCTACGAGTAAAGAAAGGGAAAGAAAATATGACATCGTATAGTGGAATGCCTTTGCTAGAAGGAGATAAATATACATCTTCAGTTATGCCGACGGCACGTGACTATACCTTCATGCGCCGGCCGCCATAAGATGGCGGGCGCCGGCGTCGAAAAAAATAAAATAAAAATAGGTTGTTTGGTGAACTTACGCATGAAATGACACATTTTTGTCTTTAACATTTGGAGTATAATTTGTACATCGTCTGAACACACACAACGACATGCTTTCTTTATGTTTCGCACAGGTTTACACACACGATATAAATTAAAAAAAAAAACGTAGCGTCGCGCGGCAGGTTGGTGCGTAACTAAGCGCGATGTTGTCAATTGCCTTCATTTCATGTTGTCATTTTAGAGAACGGACAACGTATCTATAGTTTTATACATCATTGGTTTTTGAATTGTATGAAGACGTAGGTAGAATTTGGTCGACCAAAAAAGAAATCGATTTTTGTTTAAAAATGTTTACTCGTTGTTTGTAATAAAGTCAAAATTAAATTAATGTCATTTATATGTATGAATAAAAAATATAATTCTTCAATTACTGTGATTGGTTTAGTATTTTTTAACCTTGTTATTTTGCCCCTTAAACCAAATAATATCGACACCGTCGCACCCATCGTCCTGTAAAGTAGAACCATACAACATCGAGAAGAGTCTGATTACCTTTAATAAACCGGTCTCGTGTTGGTGTCTAAGTGAGGTTCCTGCAGGACTTTCTGCCCTCCTCTCACGCCTCAAATCACCGCCCACCACCACACCAATTAGGTTACAGTTCCATTGAGGCGGAGCGGAGCAGAGCGGAGAAGAGCTGTGCCGTGATTCACCAGTCACATGGCTTGGACACACACACACACATGCCACATTGGAGAAGAGATGTTGATTTATGTTAAGTGTAAGACAGCCAAGCTTCTGGGCTGGGGTGAAACAAGCACAGCATTGTGTTTCGCCGTGTGAGTGAGGAGACCCAATCGCTCCCCCTTCCACCATCCGTTCCCAATCCAAAACCCTTATCCCTAAAAGGCAGGCAACGCACTCGTAACTCCTTTAGAGGGTGTCCATGGGTGGCGCTGATTGCTTACCATCAGGTAATCCGTTTGCACGTTTGCCGACCTACACCATAACAAAAAAAACGCACTTGTGATGTCAGGTAATACGTGTAGCACTTAAATATCCTATAAAAACTTATCGAGTGGACTGGAGCCCACACAACGTCAATAGATGCGCCCAGGCGGGGATGGCTGACATCTTTGACAAGGTATACTAACTTTTAAACTTTCGCGTTTCATATTTAACAACCTATTATTAAGCTTTTATCAGGGGACAATCATCAAATGACTTCTCCCGCCCAGGGTAAGGTGAGAGAGAGTGTCAGACTCTTACTGACTCAACGCCCCCTCCGTTCCTTCTCCTGCTTTAGGCAGTGGCTGTGGTGCCTCATTGCGCTTCCCCGCAACCCTGGCTGACCATCAGCCCTGTAGGGCCCCGTCTGTGGTGGTCTATTGGCTTTCGTATGCTAATTAATCTTGGAAGGATTGACGTTTCGACGTGGTTGCACAGGTCGTGGTCGCAAGCAGACTTACGCGTTAATACCCACTTAATAATAAGTTGTTTGACAAATATTGGCTGCAGAAAACTTTGTGCAGAGAGGAGTGCAAGAAGGACCCTTATGAGGCCAAATATTCACTTTTACTTGAGAAGGTCCAAAAGGCATTTTTGCGATTCCTTTATAAATTTCGGTTTTGATATTATCCATATTTATATCCAACCAAATTTCTTGTTGGGATTTAATACGTTGCAAACTAGAAGAGCCTATGACCAGCTGAGCATCATGCTTAAAATATGTAAAGGGATAACAGATGCCCCTGATCTGCACAATGAGCTGATTTGTCTTTAAGTCCCTAATAATCCATCCATCCATCCGAGGCCGAAAACACAGTTCCCCGCGTTCTAGCCATGCTTAACGACCTCATGGGAGCTGAACCGAACTGTGATTTATTCGCTGATGATTATAAAGCAATAATGTGTTTTTGTATCAGCCTCTGCGAACGAATAATTTAATATGTATTGTTTTGTTTTATTCTTTATTCGTATTTTTCATATCTTATTCTGCAATTTTATTAGTATTTTCTTTTTTATATAATGTTCTTGTATCTCTCTGTGTTAATGTAATTGGTTTGTAAACCGTTTTAACATAAATAAATAAATAATTGCATCCGGAGGCCTTTGCTCTGCAGTAGACGATAGCTATCATATCGCAAAATGCGACGTTTTATACCGATACGGGGTACAATTCCGGACTGAGAAATTTTCGAAATACCGAAACATAACCAATAATCTTTTGTCCGATCTGCGAATGGAACAGTTTTTGTATTAGGTATTATTAGAGTTGTGAAGAAAACTTTAAACTATTAAGGTTTTGATATAAAAATATTGCATCCACTCCCTTGAATTATCGATTTTATAATCGAAAAAAATAAAGCTAAAAATCTCTTTTATTTCGTAATGGGCGGGCATTTGGCCGCTATCCCGCCTGGTGGTAAGCTATGACGTGACCATCGTATGGAGCACGCCTACCTAAGCAACCTATTCACTCGGGCCTTGAAGGCACCCAGGTTGTAGTACCCTTCGAAGAACACACACCAGCAAAGGAGTCCACACCTTGATGGTGGAAAGGACAAGGGGGAAACCAGGTGTGGGGTTTCTTGAAACATTCTCCAAAAGACAAAAATCCTTAACCTGCCACTATATAGCTTACCTACGATGATGATGATAATGATAAACCTAAACTACTGAACCCATTTGGATAAAATTTAATACAGACATAGTTTGAAACTCGAGAAAGTGCTTCGTATAGTTTTTATCAATTTCAATTTAAAAGGTGAACTTTCCGAAAGTCCTACAAGACCGTGTGGGTAAAACCAAAAATCTGCCAGCAGAAGTCACTATTTCACGCGGACGAAGTCGTTGGCAGGAGCTTGTTTTTAATAAAGCTGACTAAACTCCGCCGATTGCATACCATCAGGTTATCCATCTGCAAGTTTGTCGTCATATCACATAAAAAAACCGGCAATGCCAACTTAGATGCCGCTGGTCGCCTACCACCAAGAACAGACTGCTCGTTTGAAGCTATATAAAAAATAAACCAAGCTAACCCCAACCATGAGCGTATTGGGCTACCATCAGGGTTGGGTTCCGTAGTTTCCAGTCTATCGCAATAAGTATTATCACTTAAGAGTTATTGTTAATCCTAAAACCACAACTGAGCGTAAGTAACATCAGTACAGCGCCATCTCTCGGGGAATTGGGTTACTAATTTACACAAACTAAACGAGTGATGTACCCACGTTTGAATTGCTTTAACCGGTTTTAATAATTCTTTTTCATTTGAAAGAAGGCACGTTCAGAACAATAAAATAAGCGAAAAAAGTAAAAAAAAAGTGCTTGCAAATGCTTAAAATTAGTTCAAATTGTTTGTACAATATTTTAAAAACTGTTCAACCCTGATTCAAAAACCAATTTTTCAAAAATTGTTCAACTCAGAATAATACCTAATACAAAAACTATTCCATTCGCAGTTAGAGCAAAAGATTATTGGTTTTGTTTCTGTTGAAATGTCAAATATTGAACCCTACTTTACCAAGTCTGTGTTTACAATACACAACATTTGTAGTATGTGGTTATGTTACTATTTGATTCTCTCAAATAAAACTACATTTTTTAAACTAAATATTTTAATTTTCATTAAAATTTAACAACAACGGTAATTCAATAATTTTCCTAGAAAGTATTTATAAAGTTCTACTTTCGAGACTTTTTCCATATTTTCTATAAGTATACCTAAAGGGTGAGAACGCATTTTTTAAACTTTTGGAGCGATTATTTCCTAAACTATTAATATAATCAAAAAATGATTTAAGGATATAAGTAAACCTCTATTTTTTTAAAATACCTATTTAACAATTCATCACAAGTTAGGGTTGAAACGAAAAAAAAAACACTCCCTACTTTACGTGTACGGGGCGTACCCAAATAAAATACTTTTTAATTTACCACTTCTTACCTTTTTCTTACGGAAGGGTGAAGGGTACTGTCAGACTCTTACTGACTAAAACCAACCCGGTGTTCCTCCACTTACCCATGTGTCGGAGGGGCGGGTATCGCCGAAGCATTCGTCGCAACCCCCCGACGGGTATTGGCCCGCCAGATGGTAAGACGGGCCCCGTCACCCACTGCGGCCGTCACACTGAC